GGTTACCGCAAACCGATTTCAAATATCTTAAATTGTTGAAAAGTTAAGGGGGGTGCAAGTTACTTTTCAGCCACCCTGTATATACGTACTAAAATACTAAAATACGTAGAATAACAACACTACACTATTGTGTTGAGTTTTGATTAAATGCCATTAAATCCCATTGCTTGTGAAATCCAATAGTAAATAATCATTTGTTGTACCATCGGTCAATTAACTCTCGTCAAAGTAATTATTGAGTTTACTATGCTAATGACACATTTACACATTTACTGATCGTCATCACATTTGGCAATTTGAAGACTTATTGACAAAACAGGATAATTTTTGTAAAAAAAAAATAATCAACAATTCCTATGAAACAGTTTTTGTGTTGTTTTGTAAAATATTCACGCCGCTGCCCACAACCTAAAGGATATAAAGCATGCATACTAAGTGTGATTATAATAAAGAGTTATCATATGTTTTATGTAAAACGGGCTCAAATAATTCATATCTATATACAAAAGATCCCTTCATTGTTGTATAGTCAGCAGCTGACACATGTAGGGCCGTCACGTGGTGGACATGTTTCATTCCGTCACAGATGTTCCCGCGTTATGTGTTTCGTTACTATATATAGGCCTAGGCTACTATTTGTCCGGCCGCGGAAACTAAAGATTATTTTCAATTTGTTTAACTGTGTGTAAATAGTCTATAAATATTTATTTACATCCTTTTAATTAAGTGTTAACTATTTACTATTTTGATTAATAAATGATAACATAATTCATATATATTAATATTTTAAGTCCGGATTTCATAGTTTAAACTATTCAAAACTAATAAAAAAACGAAGTAAAAATATTAACATTTAATTGAATTTATTAACTGTTTAATACAAGCATCACATTGAATATCCATTCACTTAGAGCATTGAAACAATTGTATGAATAACAGTTAATTTAAAACTGATTTAAATAATCGATCCAAAATAATGTATTTGAAAAAAAAAACTGTTTGAAATTTGAAAAACAAACTAGAATCGAAAACAACTATATAAATTATATTGAACTTTGTTTGTGGCGATTATAACAAACCAGGATTCAAATAAAAAGTTGAAAAAACCTTCTTACACCGGTTTCCTGTAGTAAGTTCTGTAATATCTTTTTATAGATTTTAAGACATTTGAGAATATTTTTTGTTTAAACTATATAAGAGTCATATACAAGTTACGATAACATACACTCTTCTCGTAATTATGTCGTTGAAAATTGCTATTTAGATCGTTAAACGTTATTTCATTTAGCCAAACAAGAAACGCAAATTATAATTGGTTTAAAAGAGTCTTCAAACTTTAATTTAAAATATATTTTTAATAAAATAAAATATACGACCCTAAAAGTATTAGTTTTTTTCTGCTTCAAGCATGATATCATATATAAATATTTAAATGTAACTTTAAAACGTAATTAAAATGTGTATTTTTTTAGGAAATCTTTATTGTTTTTCTATAGAATTAACAAACAAAACCATACATTTTTACACAAAAACAATAATCACCTTAGGTTTAAACCTATGTCGGTGGATTTATACACTTTAAGTTCTTAAATATCGAAGAGGCGGTTTGTCTGGTCAGTTATTTCACTTGGTTTTAATTTACAGTGAGTGTAAATTCTACACAGTGATCTTCTTCAGCACAAAGTAAAAAACGAGACACTTACAAGCAAAAATGGTACAATATTATTTATCATATGTACTATTATTGGGTTAAAAAACCTTTTGACTGACAATAGAATAAGAAAATCATCAGCTTCTGTATTTGTATATACACTTGAGAATTTTATTTATATAACTTATCATACATATATACTTAATAATTTGTGGAAGGTAATGTAGTGTACTGTGTGTTAAGTACTAATGTTTTATATATACAGTATATGTAAATTTTATGTATTTTTCCACACATATTTCCTTATTACTTTATACTAAAATTTTGCATTGTAAACTATTCTTAGTAATGATCAGGCCTAATATATTACTTTTAGGGAACAGCATATACATAGATAAACCTTGTAGAATCCAAAGGCAATTTGAACCCAAGCCAAGCCCATTATTACCTTTTCTCGTCCTTGCTATTAGAGATGCCGCATTTCTTTCATTTTGTTAGGTAAAATTCACATTGCTCAACTGTTTATGTAAGGCATGCATATAAAAAAACTACATTGAATGGTTATGTAGTTTGAAGTTAAAAACAACATTTTAACAGTTTTATTTAAATTTGTATTCACTTATTATTCTTTACGGTGTATGTTTTGCTTAATATAATAAATCTTTATATATAATACGTGAAGGCGATTTCTACGAAACACTACTCCTTCGTTAATAATGGACGGATTTTTATAAACGATGTGTAATTTTTTTTTGTGTAGACACCCTGTTTTACAAATTCCTGTAATTAAAGTCCGTGGGCTTTGGCCCACAGGCCATTAAAATCCAAATATATATCTTATGAAGAAAATGTACTAACCCAGCTGTTTAATAAATCTTACTTTAGTATTAGAATTTATCAAGTGTCAAGATATTTTGCGTCATGTGTACATGTTTTTAGTTGAATATACACAAACAGCACATGTTTTGGTTGAATCCAAATAGATATCAGAATTCAATTAAATTTTTCGTACATTTTAAAACCTGAATTATTTTCTCCTGCATTCTTAACCCGTATTGAAACACGAGCAGAGCAACTAGTTAGAGGTTTTTTTTATTACGTTTAAACCAGTGGTTTACTTTAATATTAACTGTAGTTAAAAAAAAATAATAATTTAATTTAATTACATGAAAAGACAGTTAAGGTTAAGAGGGAATCGCCTATGAATGTATTGTGCAAGATAACAACAGAAATGAAATTAACACGATTTTTTTTTTCATTTTGATGAAACTTACTCATTGCGGTTAAAACCTGTAGTAACGAGTTCCTTAAATGTCTTGAATCATATGACATAAAGATATAACTTTTGTTCCAATACATTGTATTGTAACGGTTGTCTTGTATTTGTATGAAATACAAGAATTAGTATTTTGTTTCCCTTGAATCACACTGGAATGTGGCCAGTCTTTTAAATAATAGGATACTTTTTATATATGAATGCAACTATTAGGTAGCAAACTTAACATTATTCGCATCCATAATTCACACGTTAACATTATTATAAAGCTAATACAACTATAACAAATCTAGTTGACATCACATTATTCCATTTATTGCTCGCGTTATTTGCATATTCTCAATTAGTAATACGAATGAGTTTACACAACCATAACTTCCCTTTGTAAACTGTCATGGCATTACAGCGATTAGATAACTTTTGAATTGAAAATTACTGGTTTGTGTGTATTAGCAAACAAGTTTATTTGTCAACAAACTTATTATTGCACCTTTATGTTAGTAAACAACTTTAATCAACATTTTGAATTTAAAGATTAAGTAAATTTTGTTTAAAAAAATAACCGTGTTTAATATAAATTTAAATGATTCAGATGTAATTGTTTGTTTGAAATACAAATCGTTAACATGAATATGGAACAATTGCTGTAACAATCTCGTAAACAAACACAACTTAACAAAAATATTAATAATACTAGATTTTTATGATCCCTGAATCAGAATTTTAATGTTATTTAATAATTTTATATTTTAATTAAAACTTATTGTGATAGGTAAAATTATACCCAACCCAACGTAAACAGTTAGCACAATATTTATTCGAATTAGTAAAACACTTATAAACCTATTTTTTTACAATGACCAATGTAATTATTAGTTAGGGATTAGCACCCTGTTTATAGCTACAAGCTTCGTGATATTTTTGAAATGTTTTAAGCCGTAAATTACCAAATTAAAAATGTTAAAAAACTACTTAAATATATGTTTTTATTCAAGTATAAATTTCATCCAAGAAAGTATCAGCAGGAATACAACTGCATTGCAGAAGATTGTACAATGTGTTTCTCAAAGCTATAATAGAATTGATAATGAGGATGTTAGCATAAATCCACATGAATTATTTCTCAGCCGCATGTGACGTATTCGTACCGTAATTTTATGTCAACGATAAAAATAAAAATTTATTAATTTAAATAGTTAGAGATATCAATCATAGTTAAATATATCTTTGTAAACAAGTTACAGTTTTTCAAGTACAAATTGAAAATAAATAATTTACTTTTATTTAAATGCCCTCGTTTTTCTTACACTACTAATACTAAAGTTTGGTTTTAGAGTAAAGATATCTTATAAGGGTAAACACTTATATTACTTTATTGTTTAATATTATATACATTGAATAGATTGACTTACCTTTAAAGAATCTATGACCCTTAATAATAGTTTAATTTTTTATGCATTTTCTAATCACGAAATTATCTACTATACATCAATAATTATAAACATAAAAATGTCCAAGTAACTTTGACATTCAAAAATCTCAGATTCTCAAGAAGCTTTAATAATTTTAATTGTAATACAACCATAATAAAATAATGTATAAACTATGCTAGACGGTTTCTATTTGTTCAAAACATTTTCATCCGTAAAAAATTTAGTAAGTTATAAGAACCACATTCTTTTTCTAACATATTATAGTAAATTGTAAACCATCATTTAAAATATTATAAATCTATTGCAGGTGGGGAAAGCATGACTATTTTAAAATATAAGTATATTTTCTATAAAAAATGTTCCGTTTATTCTAGAGTCACAATTTCGAATGCCTCTACTTCTGTAGTCATGCGGGTAAATAATGATATTTACCAGTATGCAGCTTTGTTTGTTGTTTTGTCTGATTTAAATTTCTACAGTGGTTGACTTGAAATGACCCTTCGGTATTCGGTAGTTTGTATGTTGTGAAATAGCATGTAAGCTAAGGTACCACTTTTGAAGGTTTGTGGTGTAAAAAATAATTGAAAGTGATTCGTTGGCTCAAGTTGGTAGTTCCACTTACTTTAGATTTATTACAGCAATGTCGTGAGTTTGGTTACTGGTTTCGGTCACAACTTTTGATCAGTACAATTCAAATCTCTCACTGTACTTTCTATCCTCTTTGTTAGATACATTCTTCCTGGCAACAGCTGTGAAACTGTAGAGTAATAGTAGATTAAACGATAAACACAACAATTCCTCATATAATTTCCTCTTTGCAGTATATAAACCCTACAATCAAATAAAAACCTTTCAACCCGTTGACAAAGTAACACACGGTTTAACGCCAATAAAGCTAAGATCCCCAAAACAAGGGTAGGTGGCAGTTCATCCTAAAAGCATTGTCCTGTTACCTGTTTGGCAGTTGCTTTTTCATTGCTGATACACTATTTTTTTTACGTTTAGTTTTTGAAAGGGTTAATTTATTATTCAAGTGAAGAAAATTATTCAACATTTATACATGGATATCACTACGAGAATAATTTATACCAATAACGATTCAATGGATTTTTCACAAATAAAAATATTTTAAAATCATATTAGTGAAAGAAAATAACTAAAAACTACTTACAGTTTTAAATTAAATAGCAATTTACAGAATGTCTTTCCAAAATATATTGTAATGTTATGGTAGATAAAACTAATGAAAGCTGCCTTGGTATTTAAAAGTCTAACAGAATAAATGCCTAAAATTTCACTTTTGCTGGCAATAAAGGTAAGTTATTCCGACCACAAAGTCGTTAATTTTCTTAATGGGTTACACAACATGGTCACCTGGAGATAACTTAAGTTACTTCAGTGTTCGGTTGATATTATTATAGCCTAAGTTATTTAGTGTCCTTCTTTTTACATAGTGGAAATCTTTTCTCATGTCAATATACCATGCCTGATACCAAATTTTACTTTTTCCTTAAAGACTTTCCTTATCATATTTCATTTTTGCTTTTTAAATACCCAAACCTAATATTTTATTTTAGTTCTTTTTTAGTTGGAATTAGAGGTGAACATGGCAGACAAAGATTATATATTATCTTCGTTATATTCTTCCGTTCACTCCTACACCTCCACAATACAATCCTTGGACATTGGAGGAGTTTGGCTTTATTTTCGTTTGGTGGTGTTCTAACTTACAGTTGAACTTAACCAACGACCCAGACTATATTAATTGTAGGTACATAATCCTGAAATTATAGCCAATACTATAAATTTAAATAAAGTTTACACATATAGGGTGTCGCACGAAGGGGTTTAAACGTTTGATTTTACATTACGCGCCCATTCATGCACCGAACTTTTTGAAACTTTACACAGTTTACAAAGAAGTTCTAGAAATATTCTGGAAAAATTTCAACTCCCTAACCTTAGTAGAAACAAAATGGTGGTATATTCAAAAACGTTACTTTAAAAACATTAAAAAAGGTATTTTTGGTTTTATAAAATATTTTTATTGTTACTTTCCAGGGCAATATGACTTTTAAATAAAAAAAAGCCAGAACATAGCCTAATGGAAAACTAAAAATAAATCAAATAACTAATAAATAATAATAATAAATAAATAACTAATAATAGCCTAAATCATGAAAGTAGTTTTTATAGATAGCACATTGGTAAATTTGTCAATATGCCATCATTTTTGTTTCTACTAAGGTTAGGGAGTTGAAATTTTTCCAGAATATTTTTAGAACCTACTTTGTAAACTGTGTAAAGTTTAAACAAGTTCGGTGAATGAATGGGCACGTCATATAAAATCAAACGTTTAAACCCCTTCGTGGGACACCCTACATTACAAAGGGTAACGATGGCAAAATATTTTTGTATAACATTTTTTGCTTTACAATAAGAAAAAAGACTATGGATCTAATTAATTAAATATAAGGTTTTCAACCAAACATCCGATTAGTTTATTCATAAGATATATACTATTTACATATGTTTAAGACAGTCGCATTTGTTGAAAACCCAATGCGACAAGATTGTTACATTTCCACACAAATTTGCAAAGAATGCAGCAAATGACCATAAATACCACTGTGTGTTGAAGCGACAAACGTTTATCATTGTAATTGAATCATTATTTTCAACGAAAAAACTAATATTGCAGTTTTAGCAATAAAAGAAAGTAATGGCAGTCGTACACGACTAAACGTATCACGTTTTGTCACATTTATACGCAAGCCTGGTACGTTAAAGATAATCTTATGCAAAAAGTGTGTATGCGTTTAAAAAAATGTAATGCAAAATTTACATTTATTATCAAATTCAATTATGACTAACTGAAAATACCGAACAAATAATGAATTATAAATTATTGTATTTAGGTGTTTCGTAATATTCGTATTTTAGTAAACTTTATGACACTGAATAAAACACCTGAAAGGTAAATTACACCATATTTTACCGAAACACTGTTGTAATTTAAATAGGAGGGGCTGTATGTATGAGGTATTTAAATTAACTCCACATGTTGTCCTTGTTGATATTACTGTTTAAACATTCAATTTAATGTATGTACAACAAAATATGTTATTGTTTATCTTTCTTTGTATAGTCATTTTCAATATTATTTTATTATATGTTTGATCAACTGATTATATTATCTGTGTAGATGGTTCACCAACAATCCTGTTTTACCTATGCAATTAATGTAACTAAACTTAACACGTATGAATTTTAACTAAATATTGTATTTCTAAGCTACACATCAAGGCTTTATTAAAGTGGGGAGGCTACACAAAGAGTCAGAAGGAGGTTAAATTATGTTGAGTAGTAGTTTTTATTAAATATGGTCCAATAATAAAAAGTGCTAAAAACTAGAACTGAAAAGATTCATTTTAGCCGAAACGGTGAAAGTTTGAACTGCGACGAATGAAAAATTTACCACCGTTCAATCAGTTCAAGTCTTATTTAATACCTCCATTTGGTGTGATAGAACTTCAATTATAAGATTCATTATAAGATTTTTATAGTATTTATTCATACACAGTAAATAACAAATACACATTGAAGTAAAAGAAGTATGACATTGAACATTGAAGTTGAAGTATTAACATGTATTATATTAAAATTGGGTGGTTAATAAAAAAACAAAAAAAGCATTCGATCATTAGAAATAGATATTACAATCACTTAAAAATAAAATAAAACTACTTAAAGCTTGCAATGCAGCCATTTAATAGTTTTGGGGTAAATTAAATACAATTAGATGCACGTGAAAGTCGCATTACAGCTGTTGAATGTCGCATGTGTCTTGTGTTGAAAGTAAGGCTACTGTGTGCTGATATTGCTGAAATAGCTGATCTTGCTGATATTGCTGATCTCTCTAACCAGCTGTCTATATTTAACAGATGGCGTTTTAAACTTTCCTATGGCGTTTTCTCACTTTGTTGTATTAAAATAGTAGTAGGCTTAATAAAAAGACTTTACCCATGATTTTAAATTGTAAGCATATTAATAATAAAGGGTGCGCCAAAAAAACCTAACAGAAACTGTTTTGTAATAAGTCAGATGTTATACTAACTAGATACCTCATTGTTGTAGTAAATGATTGCTTATGTTATGCCATTTTTATGTTTGGTAAAACATCATTTCGTCGAAAGAAGGTTACTGTCTAGTGTCGCGTGTGGCCCTGTTTGGAGTCATTGTATCATATGTTTTTGAGGACGAAAGTGGGAACACCCTGTAAACTCGGAACGCTATGTTGAAATACTGAGGGGGTTTTTGGTTCCACAACTGCGAATGTTAGGAGGGATAGACATGACGAACACATGGTTTCAACAGGACGGCGCAATTGGCATACATCCAACTATTCAATGACAGTTTTGCGTGAACTCTTTCTTGGTAAAGTGATCTCTTGGTTTTGTTATGTGCTGTAGTCAGCTCGATCCCCAGACTTAATTTCGTGCGACATTTGTCTATGGGTGTAGTTAAAAATCAAAAGAGTTTGTTTCAAAATTTCGAACCATCTCTGAACTACTAAATAATGTTAGTAGTGTGTACAATTTAACATTATTTAATACATAAAAATGTATTTTGTTCTTGAGTTATTCAGTATTAAAAACTGTCGGGTTATTTTGGCGCACCCTTTATAACTGTGATTGATTTGGCCAGTTTATTTGGTAAGATGATGGAAAAAAAGAAACACTTAAGTATTGCCTAAAAACTGGCCTAATAGACTACATTTAAAAGCGCGGCCAATTCAGCTGGATTGCTGACAGTATATGGTATTCGATGCTTATTTTAATCTCTCAATTGCTCTATAATTTACCAACGTTCAACCAAGGGAGGACAAGTATCATTAACCTAATCATGCCTCTCTCCCGTTACTTTTGAAACTGTTTGCGTAGGACGAGGCTCAAAACCGTCAGCTAATATTGGCTAGGACGTCACACCAACTAACATCATATTATCATGTTTAGCTCTAAAGAGTTTATCAATAAGCCATTGTATACATGGTGGAAGTAAATAGTGGTATTTTTACTTCCACCATGCATTGTATACACGTACATCATGCAGATTTAACTTAGATTTATTTTCAAAATATATCATACCTTACACTTTAGAGGAAAATAATTGACGATTGTAAGTGCAAAATTAACTAATACAAATCTTGTTAAAGTAGATTAATACAAAGAAGAAATGTTTCCAAGTATGTTAAGTAAAATTGAGCTTATTGATAAATTCAATTACCAACAATACATTTAAGTTACGAATTCACTTCCTATTTGAGATTGCTTATGATAAAATCAAAATGTCATATTGAAAATAATAGTTTATGTAATTCTACCGTAAATACCAGTTATTCGAATGTCACAAGTTATTCCTAAAAAAAAATTATGTACACCTGTTTAGAAAATCTAATTCCGTAGAAACAACCTAATAGGATACTCTTAAAATTATGTACATCTCAATATTAAATCAATGGTATTACCTATTGTAGTTCTAACTTATGCATATACCGAAAGAACGGGTTATAGAGTTCGTTCTACGTCGATATAACCAAAGAACTTGTGAACAATACATTGTTGATCTTATACATATTGCAAAGA